ATCACCGGCGCGCCTCGCCGAATATCGCGCGCGGGTCCGGCTTTTGCACGCCGGTGGCGACCACCAAATTGATTTTTATTCCTCCTCCCTCCACCCTCCTTCCACCGCCGCCGCCGCCGGGAGGAAGGCCATTTACGCTCGCTCGGAGTTCAATTTCACCCGTCGAATGCTAATCAGTCATACGGGGGGGGGGGGTCCGCCAGGAGATAATGGAAAGATATGGATTTAAATAAGGACTCGCGCTGTTTAATTCCCCTGCTGGTTAGACACGCGTGCCCGCTCTCGCGCGCTCTCGCGCTCGCGTGCCAGTAAATATTGGCGAAATTTACCAGACGGCGGTTTGTAACAAATGAGGTTACGCGGCGGTTTTAGTAATGAGGCGCGGCGGCGTTGTGGGAAAAAAAAATGTGATTGATTGTTTTGTGTGTGTGTATGTGCGTGTGTGTGTGTGTATATATATGTGCGTGTGTGCGTATGCGTGGGCGCGTGTGCGTGTGTGGTGTAGATAATCAAATCTATCAGCATCGTTTATTTATCCCGCCTGAAAGCTCTTTAAATGAATTCTCTCTCTCTCTCGTGTGGATGAGTTGATGGCTGTGTAGTATAGTGGGGTTTGTTGGAATCTTTTTTTTTATTGTTTTCAGCAAATTTCAGATGTTGGCCGCAAGGGATTTCATGATTCACAACTGATGAGCCGGTCCCTCGTTACAACCCCACCCCCTCCTCCCCGGCTGTCACCAGCCAGCCACAGCCCACCGCGTGGACATTGGGTGTAGGACATCTGATGCTGCACCCTTGGCGCTGCACTATTTAGGGGCTGCAGAACCGTTGCTGCACATTCGGCGCTGAGAAATCGGTGCTTGCGCGGTCGGTGCCGCACGCTCGGTGCTGCACAATCGCTGCTGCACCCAAGGTGCTGCACAGTTGATACTCCACCCTCGGTTCTGCAGGACAGGTTGTCTGCAGGGCAGCTTCTGCACACTCGGTGCTACGGCCTCGCCGCTGCACAGCAGGTTCTGCACTCCAGGTGCTGTGCTCCATCGCTGCACATTCTGTGCTGCACTGCCGGTGCTGCACTGTCGGTGCTGCATCGCACGTGCTGCACAATTAGTGCTGCACGGTTGGTGCAGCGCAGCTGGTTCTGCACCACCGGCACTGAAGGCTCGAGTAGAGTGCGGAGCGGTCGTGAAGGAGCCTCATGACTCGCTGTGTTTCCACACGCACCGTAGACCGCTCCTCGCTTCAAACGCTCCTCTAATTGCGGTGGTGGTGTCCACTTGTTTTATAATTTTTTCCCCCGTTGTAAATGTGTACATTGTTATACAAATTTTACGGGGTGGTTGAAATATTATATTTGTTATTAATAGAAAAAGTTGTGTTTGAGTGTTGTGCTTTTTTTGTTTACCCCGCGACATCTAACTATAGCGGCATCCTGAATTGCGTATCCATTCGTCAAGTCTCCCAGAGCACCGCATTCCCCACGTTGCTGGAGACCGGTCCGCTGAAGCAGACGTCACAGAGCTACTTCTGAGATCCCTTTATTACGTGACCTCTTAAACCTGACAGTAGAGGTGGGCCCTGCACTCTCCCCCACGCGTCCTGTCTCGATGTTTGTCGTGACGTTTTTCTTTTTGCGATGACCTACAACGTGCATACATACATAGTTCAGTGCCGGTAGTTAGGTGAGTACATGGGTAGTTAGGTGAATGGGTGTGTATGTAGTTTGGTGGGGAGTCGGCAGTGTGGTGGGCAAATAGGAATGGGTGGGGTATGTGGGTGCATGAATGGTTAGGTAGGTATGTAGGTGGGTGGCTGGCTGGCTTGAGCATATAGGTTATCAGGCCGGCTAGTAGGCAAGCATGTGGGTGGGTTGGTGGCTGACTATGGCATGGATGTGTATTAACAGCCATAGAGGGTTCACGTGGGGATTGGCTTGCCGGTCCCGATGTGTAGGTAGTTAGGCGTGTAGGTAGTTAGATGGGCAAATGGCTAGTTGAGTGAATCGGTGGAGTTGGTATGTGAGTGGGTGGGATTGTGGGTAGTTTTGGTGTCGGTGGCTGTCTGGCTTGTATGTGTGTGTGTATGGTGAACTTCTTTTGTACCTTACGTAGCCAACCGTGGTAATCGGAGGTGTGGGGTAAGGATAACAAACTAAATACACAAAAACTGTTCGAGAGAAATGAGTTTCAAATACAGAATTAAAAGTGCATAGCTCCAGTGGCTTCCCAATATCGGAAGGAAGAGCGTTCCAGACGGCCGGAGAATAGTATCTGAAAGCACACAGCCAAAAGCCGCTGCGAAGATGACCAGAGTTCGCGTGATGGCTTACGCTCCTTGACGAGATTAGCGTGGCATTGTGGTTCATTTGTGGTAAGCACTTAAGCGAAAAACCGAATATCAAATTGTGATTTAGTTTTTTTTTTACTGCAGTTATTGGTGGATGGGCAGAGACCATCAACTGGCTGCATTTGAGAACTCGGTTTAATCACTGCTGGCCAAAACACCTGTGACCTCTTATCCACACCACACTGGGATGGGGGGCAGTGCCCCTTTTCCACATATCTCAAGCTATAGACAGAAATTTCTGATGCGTGGCAGCCAATTCGATAGTTTTTATTGTCAGGGATGGAATTAAGTGGGAAAACCCAATTAATGGATTTGGGTTTTTTTTTCTTTCTCCCAGCAGTAATTCCGGTGTTTGGGCTGCGACAATGAACTCACTCACACTTGAGAACCCAGCTTAATCGCAGGATGTATGTGTGTGTGGTGAGCCTTACGTAGCCAACCGAAATGGAAACACGGGATCTCAGCGGTCCCCGTTCAATATCTCGACCTTAACCCCTGAGCCCACGAGTCCGGCAACTAACAGGAAGACTTATTTTATTTTTATTCTGCTTCTTTACCCAGGAAAGCCTGACCTCGTCTCACGGAGGGGCTCTGCCAAGTGTTCACAGTCGCGGGGGAGGGGCGATAATTGCCTTGTATATGTTCAACTGAGTAGCCTTGGAGCAGATGGTGGTGGGATGAGACTGTCAGGTCAGATAGTGGAGGTCGCTGCTTGTCGACCGTACAGCAGCTGCTGGTTGTGGCAGAGGGTACGAAGCGAGCGTTGCCGAGGAGGCTGCCGTGCCATCGGCGGCTTTGTCCTCGAGTAACTCAGGATTCCGAGTGAGGCGCTGGCAGAGGTCATAACCGGGTAACCGATACCCGTACCCTACCCGATACCGGGGTACCCGTACCCAGCCGGGTACGGGTACGGGTACCCGTTTGCGACCCTGGTGCGGCCGGGTACGGGTACGGGTAGGCCGTGAGTCACTGGTGAGTAACCGTTTGTCACTCATTTCCCAACGTCTTGTCTCTTCTCACATTTCAAGTTCCTAGAATCAACCCACCCGCGCCTGCAACATGGCTTCATCCCAGAGGTCGCAATCAGGTTCCCGATACCCGTACCCTACCCGTACCCAGCCGGGTACGGGTAGGGTACGGGTACGGCGGGTACGGGTACGGGTACCCGTTTGCGTACCCTAGTGCGGCCGGGTACAGGTACGGGTAAGGAATCAAAACCCGTTTGCAACCTCTAGGGCGCTGGGTGTAGACTCCAGCTTGTTCAGAATGCAGCTGCTGGAGTGGTGTGAGCGCATCACTACACCGGCTGTCTTTTTCATTTAACATTGGCTACCAGTCCAGTATAGAGTGGACTGTAAGATCCTGCTGCTGATCACCAACAAGGCACTCAATGGATAAGCCCCGTGATATTTACAGCAACTGATCCATCTTCATACACAAACGAGGTCCCGGAGATCTTGGGATCGTCTTCTTCTCAGGACTCATTTCCTGCGGTGATCGGGCTTTTGCCAGTGATGCAACCAATCTCTGGAATGCTTTGCTAATAGGACAAGAGTCGTTCGCTTTATTTGAGCCTGTCATGAAAACTCACCTCCTTAAACTGGCCTGTGCTCTCGCCTAGTTCTGCCCAGTTTACCAGCCAGGTTATGTTTATTCTCTGCTTTCCATGCATGGGTGCATTGGGATGTGTGAATGAAATGCGCCTTTACAAGTGTAAATTATTATTGTTATGAACCGCCCAGCTTTCTATCTCGGACAAAATATTCTCATAAAGCAAAATGTTGTGCGTCCACGATCGTCTCTCTAATGAGTTTGTTGCAGCTGTGGCCTGTTGAGGTTGTCGGTGGCGAGATGCTAACCACCTCGCTCGGTACACAAGGAGATCGTGGGTTCGATCTCGACCCGATCCTGACCATGCCTGATGTATATGTGGAGTTTGCATGTCTCTCTCTCCCCGTGGTCGCGTGGATTTTTTTTCTCCCGAGTCCTTCGGTTTTTCCTCCCAAATTTTTTATCAACGTGCGTTGAGAGTATTTGGCTGCGATACCTTTCCGCGCGCTAAGCAGCTTCGTTGGGCTATCATTCGTGGCCAGATCGCTTCTGAAGAAGAGCTACATCGCTCAGTGGGCCTTACCTAGTAAAATAAAAAATAAAAATGTTTCATAAAAAATATATGTTAAACTTCTTTCGCAACGTACATAGCCTAGCATGATAATCAAGGTTGCGGGATGTGTGAGAGTCTGCTTGCTGTGTGCTAATACAAACACGTTCGCTTGGCAACTTTCTTCAAATATTCCAGTTTTCTCCGGGCCTCAGCATTATCAGCATCATCATCAGATATGCGCAGGAAACGAGGGCCCGTTGTGCCAACCATGAGGGTCCATGATCCACATGACATTGTAAAAGGCCTCTGGCAAGGTCAGGCTCGGTGTCACGACAGATCTAACGAAGGCCCCAATGGCGTGAAAATGTGGCCTCCCAACGACAAGTCCGTCGATCTCCCTGCCCTCTTTTTTCTCTCTCTCTCTCTTGGCTCTGAAGTGGGGCCATTGCCCGAAACGTCAGCCGACTGTTCACGTTTCCGTTTTAAACAATAATAATGACGAATACGCCGAGCGTTGTGCTAACCGAGTCGACGTCTCCCTTGCGAACAGGACCGAGTCGGTCGCAGAGAAAATGTTGACCAACTGGTTCACCTTTCTACTCCACAAGTTTCTCAAGGTGGGTTCGTCTTCAGCTGCAATCTGCACGCGTAAATTGCTCTCATTTCTCTTCGCTTCATTGCAGTACTTTGTTTTGATTTCATCATTTATGGTGACCCAGGTCACTGGTATCTTCGACAAATTTTCACTTTTACCCTAAGATTTGTGTAAATTCACGGCGCGATGAAGTGCTCTCCCCAGCTCCGTGCGGGTCGAGGTGGTAATTTGACTGTACTTCACCGTGCTCGTCGGTGCCGGTTGTGCAAAGGCAGGGAGCATAGAAATACGGTACAACAGTGGAAATACAGCACAACAATGAAAATACTGCACAGCAATGAAAATACAGTACAACAATGGAAATACAGTACACCAATAGAAATATAGTACAACACTAGAAATACAGTACAACAATTGAAATATAGTACAACAATGAAAATACAGTACAACAATGGAAATACAGTACAACCATGAAAATACAGTACAACAATGGAAATATAGTACAACAATAGAAATCTAGTACAACAATGGAAATACAGTACACCAATAGAAATATAGTACAACAATGGAAATACATATTCTTGGTTCTTTCGGTAAAGTCACGTAGAAGGAAAATAATAAAATAATAAAAATAAAACATAATAAAATAATTCTCACGACGTTTCGGCCTGTTCTCCACCTGAAGACGGCTGCTTGCGTTGTGGCCGAAACGTCGTGAGAATTATTTTATTATGTTTTATTGTTATTATTTTATTATTTTCCTTCTACGTGACTTTCCTGAAAGAACCCAGAAGATGAATCCCTGCAGTCACGAAAGCTTTAAATCGAAATGGAAATACAGTACAACAATAGCTTTTCCTGCAATGCGCCCTGCTGCTCAGCAGGTAGAACCCGGTGCAGCTTGAGCATGGCGGTTGCCCATCCAGGCTGAGCACTGCTTCGCTTTCCAGAGATCTAACGAGCTCAGGAGTATTTCTGGGTGACTTGTTCATCCGCTGTGTACCGCCTTAATTCGACAATAATAACTGGATGTTATCATGCTGAGAGGAAGAGGAGATCCTAATGCGTCGAGCCACTGGCAGAGTGATGAAGATCAGTCGCTTGATATATCAAGATCATCACTACTTTTCGCGGCAGACACAACACAATAAAGCTCTGTTATATCTTTACGAGATATGTAATAATTCAGCGGCGCCTGCTGCTCCCATGTGAGTGCTATTGTAGGTCTGCGTGCGCACAGTACACCCACTGATACACACGCAGTACACACACGGTACACGCACTGATTGATCTACAAGTCTCGCGTAAATACATTTTGCAATGTTTAAACATTCTCCGAGTGAGAGCACCGATCGTGGAATGGCACTGTCTCTAGAACGGTGTGATCGCATTGTCAGACGAATGTTATACATGCCATCATCTCTGTCATCACCCCATCACGACCATCATCACCACTACATCACTACCATCATCACCACCACATCACTACCATCATCACCACCACATCACTACCATCATCACCACCACATCACTACTATCATCACCACCACATCACTACCATCATCACCACCACGTCACTACCATCATCACCACCACATCACTACCATCATCACCACCACATCACTACCATCATCACCACCACATCACTACCATCATCACCACCACATCACTACCATCATCACCACCACATCACTACCATCATCACCACCACATCACTACCATCATCACCACCACATCACTACCATCATCACCACCACATCACTACCATCATCACCAACACATCACTACCATCATCACCACCACATCACTACCATCATCACCACCACATCACTACCATTATCACCACCACATCACTACCATCATCACCACCACATCACTACCATCACCACCACCACATCACTACCATCATCACCACCACATCACTACCATCATCACCACCACATCACTACCATCATCACCACCACATCACTACCATCATCACCACCACATCACTACCATCATCACCACCACATCACTACCATCATCACCACCACATCACTACCATCATCACCAACACATCACTACCATCATCACCAACACATCACTACCATCATCACCACCACATCACTACCATCATCACCACCACATCACTACCATTATCACCACCACATCACTACCATCATCACCACCACATCACTACCATCATCACCACCACATCACTACCATCATCACCACCACATCACTACCATCATCACCACCACATCACTACCATCATCACCACCACATCACTACCATCATCACCACCACATCACTACCATCATCACCACCACATCACTACCATCATCACCACCACATCACTACCATCATCACCACCACATCACTACCATCATCACCACCACATCACTACCATCATCACCACCACATCACTACCATCATCACCACCACATCACTACCATCATCACCACCACATCACTACCATCATCACCACCACATCACTACCATCATCACCACCACATCACTACCATCATCACCAGCACCATCGCCTTTTGTTATTCTGCAGCAGGCCGAGTGTGCCGCACATGCCTCGCCGGTCCGTGGACTGTGGAACGCTGTGACGCTCTCCAAGGTGCTGATGCCCGTGTCGTCATTGCCTCCTCCCTTTCCCCGCTTCATGTTTCTGCCCTCGCACCTCGTTCCTTGTCACCCCCCGTCCTCTCATTTGCCAAAATAACTGACTGACCCACCAAATGGCCCAACCAAATTAACTAATCATGAACTACCGACAAACCCACAAACTGACCAACTAACAACTAACCGACCGACCGCCAAACCTGCGACCGACTGATCAACCCAACCAATCGACCCAACCGACTCACCGACTGACAAACGAACTGACCGACCAACAAATCCAACCAACTTATCCATTCACCGACCGACCGACCCACTGACCCGCTGTCTGACCCGCCGACTGACCGACCCACTGACCAACCCACCGACGATGCCCTCGTATCAGGAACGAGCGGGCGAGCCCCTCTTCAAGCTGTACTGTGCCATCAAGCAGCAGATGGAGAAAGGTCCGATCGACACGGTGAGCGGGGAGGCACGATACTCGCTCAGCGAGGACAAGCTCATCCGCCAGCAGCTGGAGTACCGCACGCTGGTGAGCAGCTCACCGCAGAGCCGCACCGCGCACACACACACAGCCACCCACTCCGCTGAGCCGTGGTGTCAACGTCTGCGCTGGGGGAGACAGACGTGCACACCAGCACCACGAGCATTGCCCGGCGGCCTTAATAGGCGCTCGCCAACAGCACTTGCCCAACGGGCGGTTGCGTACCGCCCGGTGGTAGTTGCGTGCAACCGGTTTGCGCGTGCGGTACACGCGAGCGACGATTAAGTTGCGCAATTTCGAGCGCGATTTGTTGGCTCGATCGATCACTCCAGGTGTGGAGTCGGCTTCAGGCTCCAGTGGGTATCTCGCGGCGGTGCGTGTCAATAATACATGATGTTTGGGGCAATGGCACTTCATCATTGCACGTAGATAGGCCAGAGAGATTGAGTGGCCCGGTAAGTCTGCAGCTTTACATTACGGCGCTCTAAAGCATCGCCTGCGTTATATGTTTTCGCAATAAGCCCACGGCGTTATTGACGAATGTGTTGAGTTTTTGTTTTGCTTATTGTGCTCGTGCACCACTGCCAAGGCAGCATCGGCAAAAAAAACGTATGATTTAGTTGTGTGCGCATAATTGTGTATGTGCTGCATTTTTGTGAAGCGGATGTTGTAGCGGTTATTGCCCTGCACTACGAAACCCTGCGACCCGACTTCGAGTCTCGCTCATGGCCAACACCGGTGACGATTATCTCCCCTAGGTCGACTCAGCCTCAAAATGAGTACCTGGTGCAGTATGTTACACATCGCCACTGGAGAGACAAAGGCGACGGGGCGTGGTGCTGGCCACTCACCTCCTGGTGTTCCGTGTCGGCCTTCATCGGTGCTCGCTAGCAGCACTTGCCCCAACAGTCTGTTCAAGGCTATACAACGGGAGGGGGGGTGGGGGTGGGAGAATCCTTGTCTTTGTGTGTACACGTGTGTGTGCGTACACGTGTGTGTGTGTGTACACGTGTGTGTGTACACGTGTGTGTGTGTACACGTGTGTGTGTACACGTGTGTGTGTGTGTACGCGTGTGTGTGTACGCGTGTGTGTGTGTACACATGTGTGTGTACACGTGTGTGTGTACACGTGTGTGTGTGTACACGTGTGTGTGTACACGTGTGTGCGTACACGTGTGTGTACACGCGTGTGTGTGTACACATGTGTGTGTACACGTGTGTGTGTACACGTGTGTGTACACGCGTGTGTGTGTGTACACGTGTGTGCGTACACGTGTGTGTGTACACACGTGTGTGTACGTACACACGTGTGTGTGTACACGCGTATGTGTGTACACGTGTGTGTGTGTACACGTGTGTGTGTACGCGTGTGTGTGTACACGTGTGTGTGTACACACGTGTGTGTGTACACGCGTATGTGTGTACACGTGTGTGTGTGTGTGTGTACACATGTGTGTGTACACGTGTGTGTGTACACGTGTGTGTGTGTACACGCGTGTGTGTACACGCGTGTGTGTACACGTGTGTGTGTGTGTACACATGTGTGTGTACACGTGTGTGTGTACACGTGTGTGTGTACACGTGTGTGTGTGTACACGTGTGTGTGTACACGTGTGTGTGTGTGCGGCGCACAGACCCTGAACTTGGTGAACCCGGAGAGCGAGAAGGGCCCAGAGGTTCCGGTGAAGGTGCTCAACTGCGACGCCATCACCCAGGTCAAGGAGAAGCTCCTGGACGCGGCCTACAAGAACGTGCCCTACTCGCTGCGGCCCCGCGCCTCCGACCTCGACTTGGGTCAGAGGAGTGGCCACGAACGTCCACGCTCCCCCCCTACCACCACCCCCCCCCTCCCTGTCGCTCCCAACTCGGCACCGCCGACGCGGCTATTGGCTAGCCATCGAACAAAGAGGGTCGCCGCATCGCGCGCTTTCCAGATGCGCTTCTGCAGCCCTTCCGGAACGCTCTTTCTTTCCGATGTTAGGACGCCACTGGAGCTGTGCACTTTTAAGTCACCTCGATTGAATACTCACTTGTTTTTGAACTGCTTTTTGTGTTTAGTTTGTTGTCCTTCCCCCGCACCTCCGAAAATCGCGGTTGGCTGTGTACGGTGCGAAATAAGTTCACATACACTCATGCATACGGCGCAATCAGCCATCAACTACCGACACCGAAACTACCCATCCTCCCACCCACCCACGTACCCACCCATTCACCCAACTAACCATATACCCACCTAACTACCTAATCGCCCAACTGCCTACCCATCCATACCACATTCACACCAGCCAGTCAGCCACCAACCCTCCCACATGCCTGCCGACCAGCCGGCCTGATAACCTATTTACTCAGCGAGCCAGCCACCCACCTACATACCTACCTAACCACTCATGCACCCACACACCCACCCATTCTTATTTGCCCACCAAAATGCCTACTCCCCACCCAACCACATACACACCCATTCACCTAGCTACACATTTACTCACCTAACTGCTGACGCTACGTATGAATGTTCAACTTATTTTGCACCGTATATAGCCAACCGTGCTAATCCAAGGTGCGGGGGATGGACGACAAACAAAACGCGAAAAGCAATTCTAAGGAAATTCGTTTTCAGTCTAGATGATGATGATTTTAAAGTGCATAAATGCAGTGCCTTCCTAATATCGGAAGGAAATGGCCGCAGAAGTGCATCTGAAAGCGTACGATGTGGTGACCCGCCCCCCTACGCACATACCCACCCACGTATTCACCACACTACCTACACCGCCAACATACCCACTAATCCACCTACACAACAGTCCACCCACTCACCAATCTATCTACCCACTCACCCACCGACCCCACACCCCTCGCCCACGTGTGTGGCGGCTGGGGCTGAATGTGCGCATCAGTTTATCTTGGCCTTGGGCAGCACAGAGGGGGCAGGGGAAGCGGTGGTGGTGGGGACAGGGAGATCTGTGCTTTAGCAATCTCTCTCTCTCTCTCTCGCTTTGCCTCGGGCCAGGGAAAATTGACGCTTCTAACACGCGACCGCGTAGGAAACACGCACGCTCATGATGCTACGCTCGTGCGGCGCGCACACGCGGGCGCATCTCATTAACGGCTTGCGTGGCGTTGTTAACCTGCGCACGTCATCTCATCTGCGTGCTCCTCTATCTCCGTCTCGTAATCGCTAATGTGTACCGCTCCGCGGCTGCCGAAGCGCACCTTGAATTTTCGTTCGATTTTTTTTTGGCTCACCAATGACGTGGCCCACGATTCTGAGTGCGTTTGCCGCAACGTTCACGGTTTCCGTTTCCAGCAGACGCCCTGGTAAATGCTGCCCGCTGTACTCACCGTAGAAATGCTAAGCCCCGTCCGCTGTACCGTGGACGTTAAAGGTCCAGTCCCCGTGACGTCATTCGCAAGAGTAGGCCATCGTGTGCCGGCGACACGGTCTGTATTTGCCAACTTAAAAATATATATATTGACGCCGCTAATCATTCGATAGGAACACAGTCCGTTCTCCTATAATGCGGTAGTAGTTGTGTCCCTGAGGAAGACCGCATTATTTATGGCTCAGTCGACCTAGGGGGAGGCCCAGGGCCGGTTCAGATAATCCTCACCGACGTTGGTCGTGAGCGGGAATTGAACTCGCTGGGTTCACAGTGCGAGTGCGATAGCCACAGCAGCACACGCTCCACTCGCGCGACGTGGTTCTGTCCACTCGATCGCGTTATATCTAATTGGCATCCACGTTATAAAAAACATTCATCGCGTTATAGCCAATTTGCGTTATGAAAACAACACGCGGCGTTATAGGAGGACAGACCATAAACGGCAAAAATCGTTGCCACCACCCCCCCCCCCCTCCCTGCTCCAAAAACCTGGCAGGACCCTCCTGCAAAAAAAAGAATCGAGAGACTCGGGCGATATAGCCAGTGGGACACACCGAGTACGAAAAACAAGGTCACTGAGCACAATTAATATGGGCATCACCTTTGGGCGCCACGGTGGCGAGATGTTAACCACCTCGTCTGGTATACAGGAGGTCGTGGGTTCGATCCCGACCCTGACGCCTGCTGTATACATGGAGTTTGCATGTTCTTTCTTTCTCCCCCCATGGTCGCGTAGATTTTTTTTCCGGGTCCTCTTGTTTTTCCCTCCGCATGTATGATCAACATCACCCGTTTAAAGTATTTGGCTGCTCTATAAATTTCTACGCCACTTCGTTGAGCGATCATTTGTGCCCAGGTCGTTTCTGAAAATGAGCTGTGTAGCCCAGTGGGCCTTACCTGGTATAAAAAAAAATTGTTCCTTGCTGTTGGTTTTCTGTGGCAGAGTGGCGGCCCGGCAGGATGGCGCGGGTCATCCTGCAGGACGAAGACCTGACGACGAAAATCGAAAACGACTGGAAGAGGTGCAACACCCTGGCTCATTACCAGGTGAGGCGGCGTCTCCACTTCCTGCACCGCCGCACGTGACCCGCGAACCAATTGTCACGAACCTAGAACTCGTGAAGCGACTGATCCCCCGCTCATCCCTGCGGTCCCTTAATAGGCACTTCACTCCTACCCGGCGGTCCGTACGGAATTACGTTTTACAAGCAAGAGCAGCATTGCATTGCCTGGGTTTTACCACTTCTGTCACCGTTAACAACAACAGCCGCCCTTCGCCACTGAGTGGCGGTGATGTCACCACAGCGCCTGTGCCAGGCCAGGTGCACTTTGAGGCCACGTGAGTGAGATGATTGACAGATGCACCAGCTGTACCCCCTACTGTGCCAACTCGCTGCGTTTTAGCTGCCCGGCACTCTGCTTCTTGTTGTGAGAGGTCCCTCCTCTGCCCTCCGTTGTTGTTGGAGGGCGACTGCCTCCAACTGCCCAGTAGCATGAGCCTCCTCCATAGAGGCCGAACTTGACACCACTGCTACCGGTCTTCAGCAAGTCCAATCAGCTGCACTTCCTCCTGTACAACATCAGTCCATCTCTTTTCTTTGCTCGTGCCGCGCTCGTTTACTCCCCTCTATCTGACCAAACAGAAGCTGATTTGGCAATCGGTGGCTGGGCATGTGGGCTACGTGACCCAGCCAACGCAGCCTTGCCCGTCGTCACAAAGACACACACTCGCACAAACGCACGCACGCACACGCACGTCGTGATGAGAGCCTTTCCACCCATCGTACGCGTCACCACGATTGTTGCAGCTGTCGACCAAATGAGCAGCTTCGTTCTCCTTCGGTCCGTTTCACTTGTTTTTGTACCCTCGAGGAGAGAAGCGGCATAATGAATACAGCTCCCCAGCTTTTCTAATGTGCAGGTGCGCAAGGAGCGGCTGCCGTCTTTTATCGATGATACATCTGCCACATAGCAGAAGAAGCGTGATAACACTATGTATCTATTTCACGTGAATACTTACCAACATTCTTTCTGTATGGAAACATTCCCAAATGTATGTCCCTATGTATTAAGGATGAGTTTCATTTTTTTTTTAATACATTTTATTTATTCACGTTGCCCGAGCGTGGCACACTTCCGACAGCGAACACACTGCCCGGCGTTACGGGTCGTGCGCGTACCGAATCGCAGAGCCTACGGGTGGAATATCGCAGCGTTGGCCGCTGTTTTTTCTGTTGATAAACAGAAGAGGGGTGGGGGAGCTGGGGATGGGGGCGTGGAAGTGGCTCACACGTGGGAGATTGTATGCATGTATGTCGAGCATCTATCGCACCTTATGTAGCCAACCGTGATAATCGGATTGAAGTGCTGCACAAACATGAGTTCGACATTTAAATATCTTAAGATTCGTTTTTTTTCAAGGACAGTTTCGGATCTTTTGTTGTTCGTGTTTTTGGACCGTTTACATTATGGAGCAATAATTGCACGTGTCTTTCGCAAATGACACTCCATCCCTGGAGTTCTCACTCGGTTAGACAAAATCAGCGTGACGTCACGTGCCACCACTCTTGGTGGGGAGAGCGAAAAAGTGATGTAATATACAAAGACGTCACTGCACGAAGAAAATCATTCCGAAAAAAAAAACACGTGTTTTCTGTTCACGTTTTTTTTTTCCTTCGGATCGTCCAAAATTTCGACACTCGTTTGCGACGATCGCATCGCTCGATTTAATCCCAAAAATCAGCCACACAACGGCGAATGTTTTTGTTATCTCTTCCTGCAACCAGATTCTGGACGGCTCAGTGGTGGCGCTGGTGCCAAAGCAGCTGCCCACGTGCCACCTGGCGCACCTCTCGCTGACGCGCTCGCTGCCAAGCCGCTACGGTACGTGAAATGATCACCGGAACGCAACGCCGAGTCAATTTAGGGGGAAGCCCCAGGGCCGTTTCACACGCCGCTGACGTGAGCCGCGATGGGGAATCAAACTAAGGTCGCTTTGGTTAGTGGGGCGTGTGATGCTGCGGCTGTCGCACTGGCGCTGTGAACCCAGTGAGTTCAATTCCCGCTCATGGTCAACGTCAGTGAGGATTATCTGAACCGGCCCTGGGCCTCCCCCTAGGTCGACTCAGCTATAAATGAGTACCTGATGCGATGTGTAAACATCGCCACTAGGGAGACAAAGGCGGCTGGGCGCGATGCTGGCCACCCACCCCCTCGTGTGCTGTGCCGGCCCCCATAGGTGCTGCTCGTTAACAGTCAGTTAAAGGCTACACGGGCGACATTTGTCTTTGTATTTGATGAGCGATAACGTGATGGTTAATGCACTGTAAACCCGGTGACCTGGGTTCGATGCATGGCCGTGGCTGACATCAGTGACGAGTGACATCTGAATCACCCCTTGCCGCTCTACCGCACTCTTCCGCCCCCCCCCCCCCCCCCGGTCCGCCTCACCTCACCGACTTGAAACTATCATGGTGAAGTATGGTCAAATCAACCCTCACAACCGGCAACCGGCACAGTGTGGGGAGGCCCTCATCATCCAGACGTTGGATTAGCAAAGCGGCGGTGCACAAGCCTGTATCCTGAGTTTGATGAGGGTGCAGTGGCACCGCCAGTGGGTTAGCATGGTGGGCCACGCACGCGGCGACCCGAGTTCGATTCCCGCTCACGGCTATATCGTCAGTGGCGAGCGATATATCTTAACCGGTCCTCACCAATGCTGTCGTGGCGAAGTGCGTTGAAATAAACCCTCGTTACGTGACACGGCATGGGGGGAGGGGGAGAGGCGTTCCATGTAGCAGCAGCAGCAGCATCAGGAGCGGCAGCTCACAAAGGAGCTGTAAATGATTTATTGCCGTAAAATAATTAGAGGGAGGGGGAGGAGAAGGGAGGGAATGTTGATGAAAACGTCTCGCTAAGTCACAAGATTCTCAGAAGCACGCCGGAGAATTCACATCCGTTGTGAAAAGGGCAACGGGCGGGAGAGCCGTAGGCAATTTCGGGCGAGTTGAATAAAACATATAAAAAGAATATAACGGCGGCGACATATGTTACTGGATATTGCTCCGTAGCGAAATAGATTTATGCTTTTGACAGAGCATGAAGTAAAACATAAAAAAACGTAACAAAACATTCTCTCTTCCAATGTTTTTCTCCGCGAGCCGCGGTCCCTGACGCTGGCTGCGGAGTTTGCGTATTCGCAGAGCCGCTTAACTCCCCGCCAACAAATCGATCACCGCACGAGCGCCGGACTCCATCATCTCGCGACCCACCGGCGACCCGTGGCCGCACGATTCGATGACCCAATTAACCCGTTGACCCTCTCGACCTCAACGGATCCATACGGCATCGCTCCGTTCGCTGGCCCCGTCCCTCTCTCAGTGTGAGAGACGCGGCGGCCGCGATGCCATCCACGTTGACCTGACAGCCCCTTCATCCGAAATTCTACTTGGCTACGATCCCATCGCTCCTCGCCGTTTGCTCGGCACGCATGTCGAGTGAGCGATCCGGAAGTCGCCCCTCTGATTCCATCTCACCCAGCGCGGCATTTTAAACGACGGTGAGTTTTTCAAATCTCCCCCCCCCCCCTTAAGTTGACCGGCAGGTCACGGGGAGTTTGGGGTAAAGCGTGGGTGCTCCCACAGCTTCCAGCGGGACTGGCGTGCGGTCCTGGCCAGTTCATTCGGTAGTCGCACCGCGGTGGCGAGATGTTACTTCTCTCGCCTGGTATGCAGGAGGTCGTCGATTCGATCCCGACCCTGATGCCTGTATCATGGAGTTTGCATGTTCTCCCCGTGGTCGCATGGATTTTTCTCCGGGTTCCCCGGTTTTTTCCCCTCCACGTTTAAAATCAACGTGCATTTAGAGCATTTGGCTGCTATAAATGTGCACGTGATAGGCCGCTTCGTTGAGCTATCATTTGTGGCTAGGTCGCTTCTGAAAAAAAATCTTCTTTCTAGCTCAGTGGGCCTTAACTGGTGAAATAAAAAAAAATAGTTTTCTTGGAGCCCTATAGCATGAGGCTATCACGATGCGCTGAATGAACGTCAGAATCCCTTGAGCTGCCTCTTAAGCCGTGTCCCACGGCTGGGCGATCAGCTGTGAAACTCAAATCGCTCCTGGCAAAAATCGCGATGTGTCCATCTCCCCGCAACCTCCGTGTCCACATCCGAGCGAGTGCCAAGGAAATTGAACGCCGCGTGCGTCCGGGATCGCACCGTCCCGACCGGAGTTTGCGACTAGAAGCGCGCCAACACGATGGAAAGCGTCGCTACAAAATCGCCGTGCAGATCACCACTCGCACGTAAAGCCTGTAACTCTGCCGTGAGTGGCAACCGGTTGCAGAGACACCCGCACGCGAGCGATGCAGTTGCGTGCAACCGAATTGCGTGTGACCGGTCGCTTACGTTTGGACCTGGCTATATTGACAACAACTAAAGTCAAGTAACTTTATCGTAATCGAGGCTCCCACAAGGCCATGCGGGAGGGCGCGTGGCACATTTTTTGGCGCCAGCTGTCATAGAGTGCGGTCGTGTCGCTACAGTTCTCTGCGGTGAGTAACAATGTATTTAAAAACAATGACGCTACGGCCTCTCTAAATAAAATTAACGCTAACCACTTGCGCCTTCCGAAATTCACCGGTGAACGGGACCCACCCTGCAAGAACACGAAAGAGTTAGGAGCCACAAGTGACACTCCATCTATTTCTCACTGCTACGGACTCGTGACGAAACGTTTAACGTGTTAGTCGTTTGTTCAGTGCACTTGCAATGGATTGCCATGTCGCCGTTGTTATTTATTGCTCAAAAAAGAGCTATATCGCCCAGTGGGCCTTGTGTGGTGAAAGAAAAATAGTTTGAAAAATGGGTGCTGCGGTGGCGAGACGTTATCTACCCCACCTGGTATGTAGGAGGTCGTCGGTTCGATCCCGACCCTGATGCCTGCTGTATATTTGTAGTCTTGCATGTGTTTCCCTGTGGTCGTGCGGATTTTTTTTCCGGGCCCTCCTGTTTTCCGTCCACATTTAGAGACATTGGCTGCTCTCAATGTCCACGTCATGATAAGCCACTTCGTTGATCTATCATTTGTGTCCAGGTCGTTTCTGAAAAAAGAGCTATACAGCTCAGTGGGCCTTACCTGGTTAAAACAAAACAATTTTAAATAGTTTAAAATAGCAGTTTTATTCACACCACCGCCGCCACCGCCACGTTTGTGGGACACCGACGAACCACGTTGAACTGATCCGGCATCGCCCTCTACGAACATCCCCCACACCTCTCCTCCTCCTGCGACCGCACGGTCGTGCTGTGGGTTGCAGAGAGCCTGGCCCGGTGTCCCGGCAGCCACGAGAGCCTGCGCTCGCGAGCGCCCATGATCACGCCCGAGCTGGAGAGCGGCACGCGGCTCTGGCACCTGGTGAAGACTCACGACCACCCCGACCAGAAGGAGGGCGAGCGTGGCAACAAGATGGTGTCTGAGATCTACCTCACCCGCCTGCTCACCACCAAGGTGGCCCGCCTGCTCGCCACTCGGCTCACCCTGCTTGCTCACTACCCCCGCTCACCTGTCCGCTCACCACCCCACTCACCTGTCCGCTCACCACCCCACTCACCCGCCTACTCACTGCCCCACTCACCTGCCCACTCACCACCCCACTCACCTGTCCGCTCACCACCCCACTCACCAGCCTGCTCACCACCCCACTCACCCGCCTACTCACTGCCCCACTCACCTGCCCACTCACCACCCCACTCACCTGTCCGCTCACCACCCCCACTCATCTGTCTGCTCACCACCCCACTCACCCGCCTACTCACTGCCCCACTCACCCGCCCACTCACCACCCCACTCACCACCCCCGCTCACCACCCCACTCACCCACCTACTCACCACCCCACTCACCCACCTACTCACCACCCCACTCACCCGCCTGCTCACCACCCCACTCATCTGTCTGCTCACCACCCCAATTATCTATCCACTCGCCACCCATCCATCATCATTGCCCATTCACTGAGTGAATGGGTGAATGGATGGATGGGTGGCTGGGTGAGTAAATTAATGACTAGATGGGGAATGGATGAATGGATGGATGAATGGTAAAAATGTGTGAATTCGGAAATGGTTGAATTCATAATTACATATCTTCCTTTTAACAATGAGCACACGCACAGAGCACTCACGTACAAATGTGTGTGTGGTATGTGCATGTGGTCAATTGTATGTAGGCATGTGCGTGTCTGCGCGTATGTAGTATGTGTATACATATGAGAGGTGTGTGTACGTGTAGTGGGGAGCGGTAGTGTAGCGGTTATCGCACTGCGCTACAAACCCAGCAACACTAGTTCGATTCCCACTAACGGCAACCAGCACCAGTGACGATTATCTGAACCGGTCCTGGGCCTTCCCTAGGTCGACTCAGCCTCAAATGAGTACCTGGTGCGGTGTGTAAACATTGCGAAGAGGAAAACAAAGGCGGCCGGGCTTGTGCCGTGCCAGCCTTCATTGGTGCTCGCTAACAGCACTTGCCACAACAGTCTGTTAAGGCTACAAAGGGGATCTTTGTCTTTGTGTTTTGTATGTGTTTGAACAAGGCGGTGTGTGCATATGCATGAGTACACACCTACTCTATTATTCCTTGTATGTGCATACGTACGTATGTGTGTTTGCACATGCTCAAGAGCCATATATATTTATGATGTGTATATATGTAAGTATGCATCCACGTGTGTGTAGTGGTAAGCTTCGTGCGCTAAAAACTCGGCAACCAGATTTTGAGTCCCGCTCACGACCAGTCATCAGTGGCAAATAACTGAACTGGTCCGGTACCTCCCCTAGGTCGACTCAGCCTTAAAATTAATACCTGGTGTGCTGCGTAAACATCTTAAGAGACAAAGGCGGTCGGGCGTGGTGTTGGCCACCCACCCCATAGTGCCACTACCGGCCTTTCATCGGTGGGCGCGCTAACCACACTTGCCCGTACGGTGCGTTCAGGCTTCACGGAGGGATCTTTGTCTTGGGCGTGTATCTGCTGGGCGGGTGTCTGTGCATGTGCCTAACATGCACAACGCCGGTTGCTAATCGAACACAGCAAGCCTATCCCGACCCCGATCTGGGGACAATCTGTCCAAGGCTACGCAGGGGACACCTTTTTAAATCCTTTATATTAAGTTCGCATGCTTGCTTGCTTGCGTGCTTGTGTGCTTGCTTGCTTGCTTAGGACCGTGCAAATCTTTCGCTCGTTTTTTAACCCACTTCCCGTGATCCAATCGAGCTGACATTTTCCACACAGACTCGTTGTGCGAGACAATTAATGTTCGTGAACATTTTTTTTCCAAAATTTTACACTGTTTAGGGAAAACAAATTAATTAAATATGTAATTACCAATTGCTTAATACTGGCAGACAATCGTCTGACCCATAGGTGGCAGCCATCTCAAGCCAGAGGACGAGAGGATTCTAGCCGCCACGCATATAAAGGATTTAGAGTGAAAAACTTTGTTTTTACGGGTTTACTTGTTAAATCCTTTATATTAAGTTCGCTTGCTTGCGTGTTTGCTTGCTTGCTTGCGTGCTTGCTTGCTTTGCTTACGACCGTGCAAATCTTTCGCTCGTTTTTTAACCCACTTCCCGTGATCCAATCGAGCTGACATTTTCCACACAGACTCGTTGTGCGTGACAATTAATGTTCGTGAAAAAAAATTCCAAAATTTTACACTGTTTAGGGAAAACAAATTAAATATTTAATTACCAATTGCTTAATGCTGGCAGACAATCATCTGACCCATAGGTGGCAGCCATCTCAAGCCAGAGGACGATAGGACTCTAGCCGCCACGCATATAAAGGATTTAGAGTGAAAAACTTTGTTTTTACGGGTTAACTTTTTTCCTCCGTACAACTCCCAAGACCGAAGGCGCGAGCGTTGCGATTCGACGTGTAGGAGCGGGGCTACGGCGTGCCTGTCCCTCAGCTGAATCCGCACGCCTGCGATGGAGTGAGGAGATGCGTTCGTGCGCAGCTAATGCCGACAAATCGCCTGGGGTCCCTGCGGCCAGATAAGCATCGCGTTGATGCTCATCTCCGTGTCGCAGTCCGCGCACTCCCCCCCACCACCACCACCACCACTACCGCCTAACCCCCCGCTGCCCCCACCTCCCCCTCACACACCAAGTAATTACAATTCCACATTCCTATGGCAGGGATGTGGCTGCACGTGGCTAGAGCTCTGCCAGGGCGGATACATTCCAACTGAATTCAACCCATGTTTTGTGTGTGTGTATGTGTTGTGTGTGTATGTTTTGTGTGTGTTGTGTGCATGTTTTGTGTGTGTATGTTTTGTGTGTGTATGTTGTGTGTGTATCTTTTGTGTGTGTTGTGTGTGTGTTGTGTGTATGTTGTGTGTATGTTGTATGTTGTGTGTGTGTGTATGTTGTGTGTGTGTGTATGTGTGGGGAATGGTAGTGCACTTAGCGCACTGTACCACGGACCCAGCAACACGAGTCCGATTCCTGCTCAAGATCATCGTCAGCGATGAATATGAGAACCGGTGCTGGGCCTTCCCTAGGTCGACTCAGCCTTAAATGACACCTCATGCAGCATGTATTAAACACCAGAAATAGGAGACAAAGGCGTGTGCCGTGGTGGCCTTCATAGGTGCTCGCTCACAGCATGTACCCCAACAGTCCGTTGAAGGTTATACGGGGAACCTTTGCCTTTTGTGTGTGGTTGTGCACGTGCCTTGAGATGTCCTGCATGGGAGGCAATGATGATTACGATGACGATTGTGATGGTGACGATGATGACGACGACGATGATGGCAATGATGATTACGATGACGATTGTGATGGTGTGGATGATGACGACGACGATGATGGCAATGATGCTAATCGTGATCGTGATTACAATGATGACGGTGTTGATGACGATGATGTTGGTGACGACGATGATCACGATGCGGCGGCGACGACGACGACGACGATGATGATGCTAATCGTGACGGTGACAATAACGACGACGTTGGCGACGATGCCAACGGTGACGACGATCGCCGCGCGCAGGTGACGCTGCAGAAGTTCGTGGACGACCTCTTCGTCACGGTGTTCGGCATCTCGCACGGCGGCTCGACGCTGCCCCTCGCCATCAAGTACATGTTCGACTTCCTGGACGAGGAGGCCGACCGCCACCAGATCCACGACGCCGACGTGCGCCACACGTGGAAGAGCAACTGGTGCGGAGCCGGGGTGGCGGCGAGTGCGGTGGTGGCGGCAGGTGGTCGTGGCGGTGGTGGGGGCGATGAAAGTGGTGGTGGCGGTGGCGGTGGCAGAGGGGTGGTGGTGGTGATGCGGTGAAGGTGATCGTGGGAGCGGTAATGGTGGTGATGAAGGTGGTGGTGTTAACGGAGGTGGTGGTGGTGGTGAATGGGGTGGCGGTGATTGGGGTGATGAAGGTGGTGATGGGGTGAAGGTGGTGGTGTTTATGGAGATGAACGTGGTGGTCATGACGTTGAATGTGCTGGTGGTGGTGTTGATAGAATTGATGAAGGTGGTGGTGGTGGTGATGGAGTGGAAGGTGGTGGTCTTGATGGGGATGAAGGTGGTGGTGATGGGTGTAAAGGTGGTTGTGGTGATGAGGTGAAGGTGGTGGCTATGATAGTGGTGTCAATGTTAGTTGCAATCATAATGATCTTAGTCATAGTATCAGCGGTGGTCATGATGATGATAATAACGGCGATCAGCAACGCGAATGGCACCGGTGGTGACATTAACACAATCCAGTGGCCACTGCTGAAATTCACCGCAAAACTAAAACTTTCTATTTTGGCAAGTAAGGTCCACTGAGCTATATATCTCAGTGGGCCTTACCTGGCCAAAAAAGATAGCTTCATGAATTGGCTAATTGCGTGGAAATTTATAGCAGCCAAATACTCTAAACGCATGACGTTGATTCTAAATGTGGAGGGGAAAACCGGAGGACCCGGCGAAAAATCCACGTGACCATGGGGAAAACGCGCAAACTCTAGATATACAGCAGCAGGCGAGGTATTTAACGTCTCGCTATTTCATGAAGCTATCTTTTTTGTTAGCTATATAGCTCAGTGGGCCTTTCCTGCCAAAATAAAAAGTTTTAGTTTTGCGTTGAATTTCAGCCGTGGCCACTGGATTGTGTTAATGTCACCGTCGGTGCCATTGGCGTTGCTGATAGCCATCATCATCATGACCACCGCTGATGATCTACTAAGATCATCATCATTGCAACTAACATTGACACTACTATCATAACCACCACCTTCACCTCATCACGAGCAAATCGTCGCCGCCGCTGCGCGCCGTTCCCTTCGCGTGCATCTCATCAGAATGTCTTATTATCTATCCTGGAGAAACCCGATAAGCCATAAAGCTCTTTTTCACACACGTCCAGTGACGACGACAACGATGACGATGTCCTGTTCCCTCCCCGCGCCCGCTCGCTCCGCCGCAGCCTGCCGCTGCGCTTCTGGGTGAACGTGATCAAGAACCCGCAGTTCGTGTTCGACATCTACAAGAGCAGCATCACGGACGCGTGCCTCTCCGTCGTGGCGCAGACCTTCATGGACTCGTGCTCCACCTCGGAGCACCGGCTCGGCAAGGACTCGCCCTCCAACAAGCTCCTCTACGCCAAGGACATCCCCAGCTACAAGCACTGGGTGGAGAGGTGAGCCCGAGGGTGACGTGGACGCGGAGAGGGGTCGAGGGGGGGGGGTGAGCAGAGGGGAGGGGGGGGCGTCAGAGAAATGAGTGGGGCGTGCGAGCGTCATGGCGAGTCGTGTAACGGGCATCGCGACGGCTCGTTTCTGGAAATGCCGAGGCCCCATTGGCCACGGTCTGCAAACGGGCATGATGATGATGATGACGATCGTGGTGAAAGTGCCGATGGCACCGCCGATCGTTGACGACAACGAGGTTTGAGTGAAGTGGATGCATCTGTCAGCGTTTCTGACAATGAAACACATTTTCCATCTCCCACGGACGACCCCCCCCCCCTCCCCCACTACGGTGGCTGAACACTCACGAAACCTCTCCCCCTACTCGCGGGCAATTAGAAAGCACGCGGACAAAGACTCGCGTGCACACGTCTGTGCGTGCGTGCGTGTGCTTGTGCTCAAGTGCTGCTGTCTGGCAGAGGACAACGAATTTATATTATCATCGTTATTTTATTATTATAATTCTTTTTTCTGCTCGAAGTATGAAAATGCGGCTACGAGAGAAGTGTTTTGAGAAGCGCCCCGAACGGCCTCGATCAAGCGCCGACGCCCACTGCCCTTGCCGCTTGTCCTTGTTGGCGCGCAGAGCCACCGCCGTCGCAGCGCCGCCAGATGATCAATGGGCACGGCAAACACGCGGCTCGTGCTGCCGTGGTTTTTAGTTTTGTGTTCTGTTTGCGGCCTCGTGGGAGCGCATAAAACATTCCGGTTGAGAATAAAAATCGATTCGAATAGAGTTTTAATAAAAACATCTCCCACCCCACCACCACCCCCACCACCACCCCCCCTTACCTCCGCCGATCGCTCACAAGGACGATCGACGCAAAATGGAACGAAATGGCGAAACGTTCCTCGCGACGCTCTTTCCCAAACTTGTATTAACCTCTCAAAAAATATCCGTTCGCCTTTCTTACCCCACTTGAATCCCCCCGCCCCCCCACCTCCCTTGATCGCAGCCGCTGCCGTGAGACGGACGGACAGACTACGTTTGTTTAGCAGCGACCAAAGAGATTCGGTGACGGGAAGGTTGAAGCGAATTTAACGGGAACCAGGGCAAACAACCGAGCCGCGTGTCTTTTTTTTATTTTATTTTAACAGTCGGACCGCACAGAATGAGAACGTTTAGAAGCACTGCCGCATTACGGCTGTCGCGGTCGCGTTAACATACGTCTCTCCCCCGGTCGCGCCGCGCTTTGCCGTGCCTACGTCCGGCGTTTCGTTCCCGCGCCGCCGCCACCGGCACAGCCGGCGGCGACCGAACCGAAGCTTGTGAAGCGGGTGGCGAGGGCGGAACGTCGAGAGACGGCGAGGGCGGAACGTCGAGAGACGCCGCGTTCGCCGAGCAGCAGGGCCGCGGTGCAGCCCGACAAACCGCATCGGGAGAAGTTTGGGGATCGACTTTCGATGGGGAGACAGACGCGCGCACGTTGCTGCCGGTAGGCGCCGCCGGCACGGTTAATTGGGCAAATTTATTTTGTTTCCGCTTGTTTGAGTAACGACGCGAAGCGGCGCTCGCTCGCCGAGGAGATTTTTCCCCGAAAGGGCACCGTCGCCCGTCGCGCTCCGAAGCTTCGGCGATCGCGCGCCACGCTGGCTGCGCGTGCTTCCTCCACCCCGCGAGTTCTTTTTTTCTTTTTCGGGGGGGTTGTGGGACGAGTTTTTTTTTTTGGGGGGGGTGTGTGGGGTCTGTGGATTCCGCTAGCTCCGAGCGATGCTCACGCGCGCGTGCGCATCTGAATAGGTGAGCGGACACGGCCGCCCGTCTCTGTAAAGGTCTACGGGGCGCGCGCTCGCCATCGCTCACGTGCGTGCGCTTGCACTGGGCGCGTGTGCGTCTGCGCGTTGTGCGGAGCGGTGGGACGGCGGTTAGCGCTGCGCCCCGTGACGACCCCGGCGACCCCGGGAGTTCCAATCCTGCTCGCGACCGATAGCGGTGCCGAATATTTGAACCGCTCCTGGGCCTCCGCTAGGTCGACTCAGCCTTAAATAGGTGCTTGGTGCAATGGCGGTGTGTCAGCGATCAGCACCGGGGGAGACGGCCAGGCGTGGTGTTATCCGCCGACCCCCTCGTGGGCCGGGTCGCCCTTTATAGGATCTCGCTTCCCAGCACTTGCCCCCAATAAACTGAACAGGCTATGAGGGGCTTCTTTGTCTTTGTGTATCGAGACTGTTGGCACCCCACCACCGAGGCAGAATCAGCTGCAGCTGAAGAGCGGTGGCGCTACAAACCCGGCCACCTGCGTTTGGTTCCCGGTCACGGCCAACATCGGTGGCGATCACCTCACGCAGTCCTGGGCATCAGCACTGGGGAGACAAAGGTGGCCGGGCGCGGTGTTGACCACACCACCCGCTTGAGCGCCGTGCCGGCCTGAACAGGTGCTCGCTAACAGCACTCGCCCCACAGCAGTGTGCTACAGACTATGGACAGCACCGGGAGGAGGGGTGCCCATACTTTACCCCACCGCGTGACCCCGGGTGAGAACACGTAACCCCCAAATACACACAGCAGGCGCCAGGGTCGGGATCGAACCCACGACCTCTCCTTGCATACCAGCCGAGGCGGTCAGCATCTCGCGTCCCTCCCTCTCGCCCGCCTGCAGGTACTACGCCGACGTGGCCAAGATGCCCGCGATCAGCGACCAGGACATGAACGCCTACCTGGCCGAGCAGTCGCACCTCCACGCATCCGAGTTCGACACGCCGAGCGCCCTCAACGAGATCTACGCCTACGTCAAGAAATACCACGCCGAGGTGAGTCGCCCCGCGCCGCGCCTCTCGCCCACCGCTTGCTGGATGGAGGCCTCGTCCGCGGTGGGGGGGAGGGGTGGAGCGGTGGTGTGGGGGGGAGGGCGATGTTGTAATCATGTGTATAATCCGGATCGAGTAAATGTGCAGGTAATTATTTTAAATTTGGATATTTTTTGGTCCACACCAGATATATGTCTTGATTTGAAGCTTTCGTGACTGCAGGAATCCATACTCTTTGGTTCTTTCGGTAAAGTCACGTAGGTAGAAAAAAAATATCACGACGTTTCGATCGCAACGCAGGCGATCGTCATCAAGTGGGACAACCACAGCAGTGTTTTCTCGCTGTGGTTGTCCCACCTGATGACGGTCGCTTGTGCTGCGATCGAAACGTCGTGATCTATTATTTTTCCACTTCCGTCACTTTACCGAAAGAACCAAAGAGCACCAGATATATATTTTGTTATTCATCTGTTTAGCTCTGGGAGGAAACAGGAAAAGCCATAGGGAAACCCGTGCAGGCAGAGTCGGCAGGTGGGGGTTGTGGGAGGGGTACAAAAGATTAACACCGACACAGGAAGGCACCACATGGGCTGGAATCGAACCTGGGGCCCTTCTCGCTGTGAGGCCCAAGTGCCTTGACGACAGCAGAAGTTAGACATTCGAGGTCAGCCGAGGCTTCGATCGTCGGGCGCCGAGACATTTGTTTCTGACGTTGATTCCACCACTCATGTTGAGGACTCGGTTTGGGCCACACACGAACTGTGTCATCTCGTCAAGCAGACTCTGTTCAACCACCACCACCACCACACCGCAGTTCACAACAGACTCACTCACTCAGCCACTTACTTACTCACCCGCCCACCAACCCACTCACTCATCCGCCCACCCATCCACCCACTCACTTACCCACTCACTCACTGAGCCACTCTCCGAGACTGACTGTTTTGTCTAATCCATATTGTGTTCACGACCCACACTGCAGGTTGCAACAATACACTCACCCACCCACTCACTCACCCCACCCACTCACTCTATCACTCTGTTTCATCTAATCCACAACACTTTGGTTAACCACCAGCCTGCGGGTCCCGACACTTCCCTTTCTGCTTCAATTCCCCTGCCCATCATCAGCCCCAAGCTCTTACAGCAATAACCTCGCTCAATCCCAGGACCGTGTTGCATTCATTACCGATTACAATCTCGTTTTTGGCTGCGGGCCGCTTCACGTTTTGGGCCTTCGTGCCTTCGCTCTGCAATTGTGTAAAAAAAAAAACATGATAATAACACGTAAAAATAAAGCCCAAGAGGGATTCACGTTTGTCAGACTACCGGCCACAGTTGCACGTGACGGCAGTGGGATTGTCATCTCGGCCACAGCCCCTTCCAGCGATTTGTCAACATCGCCGCGACTCGCAGAAGCCGTCATCGCATTGCGGCGTCATCCCGTGACGCGTTGCATTCGCCCTTACACCGAGGGCAACAGCACAGTAAGCACGTATAACATGATGGCCCGCAGCTATTCTAATATGCGGTTGTGCAAGGGTTTCCACCCCAATCTCTGACGAATGTGAATGGATCTGCAATCTGGCGATGGCAAATTGTAGGAAAAAAATGCATATTGCGTATTATTACCAAGGTCATGTCCCCATTCAGTAACCTTTATCACACTGACATATGTTACAGAATTATTAAAAGCCTCCTTATTTATATATTTATAAAAAAATCCATCCCACTTAAGCATTACTGTCGGTGCGTTCAATACCCGACTAGAGGGCTTCTTGACCAATCATCCCTCCAGAGTCACTGCGTTGAGTCCAGGCTGTAGTTCTCTTGCGGGCGCTTGCGGACAGCCTGGTCCCTGTCATAGAAAGGTGGACATCTTCAACGCCGAGTTTAATCTACACGGTGCCGCTAAACACCGCCGTCATCACCACCCTCCGCCACCAAAAGCGTCCATGCAAAATGCGGCAATAAATAAAATCCCACCGTAATAAAAATTTGCATTAATTGCAAAATCATTTCACGTGCACACTGCGGTGCTTTTCATCATTCTCGTCATCAGCGGTGTCAAACTATCCCCTTGCATGCGCCGCTCTTAATTGCACCTCGCACACTGCGTCCCATCTCCAGATTGCGTCGGCAGACGGGAGTTGTTATATTCGCAGGCTCAGCGCAAAGGTTCGGCGTTTGCCAAACGGTTTCTGCTGAATTTTGCCCCGTCTTGCCAGAGCAGTGTTCCCTGGGTAAGAAATCTTCTCGCGCAAAGTCCCAGAGACGCAGTTTTTTTTAATTTTTACGACCGATGGCTCCAGGCCCCAAAAATGCTGAAAAAAAATCTAAACGACCGGCAACAAACAGCACAATTAAGCTTGAGATAGACGAGAGTTGACACGTCACTAGAATTGAGCGAGGTTATTATCATCATTATTATTCTCGCCCACAGGCCAATTAAACCACCCAGTGCTCACGGCCTGCCCAAGCCCACTTAACGTTTCCTAACAGATGTCTTCAAAAGCGCGTTGCGTATAGATGCAACGTCGCACGCATTGTTATCATCGTCGTTGGCCGTGACGACCACTTGACGTTTGACGGACGTCGCAGACGACGAGCGTCGTCATTTCTCACTGCCGCCTCCGCCGCTGTTCAATTCACAGATCCTCGGCGCGCTGGAGCGAGACGACCAAGCGAGGAGGCAGCGTCTGGCCCAGAAGCTGCGGCAAGTCATCGTCTGCATGAGCTGGGAAGGCTGACGGCGGCGGCGAAGCCATGACGGGGTCACAGCGACGGCGGTCGTGGTGGTGGTTGTTGTTGCGGTGGTCGCGGCGGTTGGTGGACACGGTGGCGGGGAGATAATTAGGTCGCCACCATCCTCCCCGCACCTCCTCATCGTCTCCTCCTCTGGCAATCTAACAGACTCGGTCACCGGGGCACGCCGCCGATGCTCGGACGAGCGTCGCGACGTCGCCCGAGGAACTTTTGAAACCTAACTCGGGCGGAATTATTTTTTTATTTATGATCGTCAACATTAACTTTTTTGTTTTTGTTTCAACAAAAAGCAACGACTTGACCGCCATCGCCGAGTCGACGTCGTTGAGTCAGCGTTGAGTCGTCGTTGAGTCGTCGTTGAGTCGGCGCGACGCCACAAACACAAACGAATCTTCCCGGGATGTTTGGCAACAAAATAGAAACTTCCCCAGTGGGCTGCTGTCAAGAATCAGTCGTACCTCTGGCCCGGCCCACGACCCCGGAAAAAGTTCAAGCTGCGGATTAGACATCGCGCTCGCAGCTCGCAACCGGAAGCTGAAGAACACACACGCACGCCCCCCCCCGATCCCCCGCCTCTCCCCCGCCGCCACACTCCCTGTCAGTTTTCCCGCGATACTTGGGACAAGAACGGAAACGCAAAAATATATAATTGATCAAACGAGCGTGTTTGTTTTTGTTCATCGAGACAGGCAGCTTCCATGAATGTTATTTTAGAGCGTGTGCAATTTTATTTTGGGGATCGTGCGCTTTACACTGAATGCTGTGTTCAAAATTCGTGGAATTTTTTTTCTTTCGTTCCGTTTGTACCCGTTTGTTCATGAATGCGAGCATGTCAAGAATGATGGAATTCCTCCACTTTGCCTGATCTGGCTGCCTGATCGCCTGGTCGCTTGGCTGGTTGGGGCACCAAAAACTCCACGGTCAGCTGTTTCAATGTTTGGTGTCAACCTGGCACGTGACAAGCTTGCCTCTCCAAGAACCGCCTTCCTCTCCGATCCACACAATCCACACGGTCAACGCGAGACCTTCGCGCTTCCCCATCAGCCGATAGAGTTTCCAAATCGTCCACGTTCTTAAAAGGACATCTCCGATATTCGATAGTTTCTGATTCCATGTCTCCGGCCGAATGTTGAGAGTAAAAAAAAGATTTTGTCATTTTTTTTGCGGGGCATAGGCGGTTGCGAGAAGCATTGTCCATACTGGGTGAGGGTTTGTCTGCTCAGGCAGACGCTAACCAGTGAAGCTGGACACATTTGGTTGGATCCAAAGCCCCGTCGGCTCATGGATTGAAACAATAGTTTATTTCTAGCCGTACACAGCAGGACGATGGGCCGATTATTTAATCATTTTACGCATCACCTGTGGGTACTCTACGGTGGCATGTCAATGGGTTTCGTAGAGGGAGACTGGCTCGCAGTGTTTTTACGAGCGAAGAAAAAAACTCCCAGTGCCCGCACCGATGTTTGCCACCTGCCGGGAATCCAACTTGGATCCGGGGGTCCCTGGCGCAGTCCACTGACCGCTGCACCACCGCTCCACCTGAAACTGTTATAAGACAGCATTAATGGACGCAAGTGGTCATCATTATTACCAATTAAATATTTATACTCTAACAATTAATCGGTGGCTACGCAGTGTTAAGACTGCCCTCTCTGTCTCATCTGAAGAAGGGGCCCTTGCCCGGGGCACTCGACCTACCGCCGCACAGCACTAACCGGATCAGTGCTGACGCGTTCCTAAAATCGGTGTTGCTTGTTACGGGCCGGCGGTCCTCGCCCCGATGCAGCGTCGCTTCGCAAACCCGAGGGCGATGCTTCCCTCCGCCACCGCGCTCCATCAAGAGGCCACGATCCCGTTGAGGGTCGCACAACCAACCGGGACACATCATGGGCAGAGGAGGAAGACGAGAGGGGTGGGGGGGAAAGGTGTTATTTTCCTAAACCAGGACAGGTGGCAAACCCTTCGTTGTGATCGTTACCAAGTGGCCGTTAGAAACAGGATCTCGACAGGTCCAGTGACAATGATCGGTAGTGTCCGGGCTATCGTGGGGCTGAGGGTGGGGGGGGGGGTGCGGAAGGGAAGGGGGGATTGGGGACTGCCACACGTTCAACTCGTTTTGTGAGCCGGTGGCCTGAACGATAATAGTGGGGCCACTACTTCAGCTCTTCCGAACTGGTGGTTTAGACAAGGCTGAGAGCATTGCACGTGCCACATGGTGGTCGCGTTGAGATGTGTGCGAGGCACGATGGGAGCCGTGCCTTCCCGACGTTTGCGAGCCTCACACCTGCGTGCGTCATCCATTCTGTTTTATCGGCTGTGGTGGTGGCGTAGATTTCCATGTTTTATCTAATCAGAGATTGGCTTCAGGTGGTTCTGTGTTTTAGTTGAGTTTTTTCTTTTTTTTATTATTTTGTTCAAGAGGGCAGGATTGCAGCACCACACCAAAGTCTGCGGGTGGCACGGGTCACGTGTGCTGATTCCAGGTTACAGGTTGCCCTCGCTTTACGCGGCAGAAGCAGCAGTAGATGCGTTCCAAAAAGATGGCGCGCAAAGCGAAAACCGCACGATGAGACAGATGCCTGCCGAGTAGCATGCACAGTACACACACAGTACACACACAGTACACACACACAGAGTACACACACACAGTACACACACACAGTGCACACAGTACACACACAGTACACACACACAGTACACACACAGAACCCACACACACAGTACACACACAGTACACACACACAGAGTACACACACACAGTACACACACAGTACACACACAGTACACACAATACACACACACAGTACACACACAATACACACACATTACACACACAATATATACACACACAGTACCCACACACAGTACACACACAGTACACACACAGTGCACACACACACAGTACACACACACACAGTACACACACAGACACAGTACACACACACACAATACACACACACACAGTACACACACACACAGTACACACACAATACACACACAGTACACACACACAATACACACACAGACATACAATACACACACAGTACACACACACAGTACGCATAGTACACGTGCAATGTTGTCCCACTTTCGACCGCATCGCCACCGCATCTGCACTAATTCAAAACCGCACACATTGCGAATTTTGGGTAAAAATAGTTTCGCTCGAAATTGCACAAACCGAACCCCTGCGCAGAGCGATGGAAACCTCTATTCATTGTCGCTTGTATATATATATAATTATTTTGTGTTGTCCAGGGCCCAGAGACAATTTTACGGAATGGAGCGTTCTCCCAAATCGGAGGTCGCGTGGCCTCCGACGCCCACAACGGGGACACGAGAGAGAGGTTCACTAAATGAACGAGATCTGCTCGGAGCGAGCCGTGGTCGGTTTCATAAAACACCTCCTTCCGCGATGTTTCCCACCGAAAAGTTCGCGAACGGAGTTATGCGTGTTAACGAAGCAGGAATATGTTTTCCACTTGAGGAATTTTATACGCCACTGCCCGGTAAACGCCCCAACGTCGTTTGGGCCAACGTTGGGGGCGAACGTTGGGCGAACGTTGGCCCCGAAACCGTTGGGGGGGGGGGGGCGTCGTTGTGCCAGAGGTTGAAACCCGATCATTGGTTCGAACGTTGGCGTATTTGCTGGGTAGCGGCAGCAGAGGGTGTTTGGGGATTCCAGGAGGTGTGCACGGGACAAAGATGAGGTGTCAATCAGCGGTCGCGCGTGCGCGTGATGGTTCGTCTTCTTCTTCTGCTTCCTTATTTCCTCGCCACGACGAGCGGTTATTAGCGAGCGGGGGGGTGGGGAGGGACAGGCGCTTATTTTGAGCCGTGATGAGAAGTGGAGCGCGTTTGCTGGGTGAAAGCAGGCTTTAACCACGCGCGCGCAGACTCGCGCACACAAAGAGGACCTCCCCCCACCGCCGGCCTCCCACGCCTTCCCCAAAAACTACCGTTGTGACGGCACAGTCCAACGTCGCGTATCCGACTCGCAGGGGACTGAGGCAGAGGCCGATTTGCGAAACGTCGATGGACAACGCCAGTGGGCGTGGGGCGGTTAACTTGGTGAGCGTGGATTTGTGACGGTCGGATACGTGGCGATGCGCTGGTCTATGCTATGGTGAGCAAGTGCCGTTAGCGAGCACCCATTTGGGCTTTCGAGGTCGTGCGGGCAGATCCACGTTTTCGCGAGGCTGCCTTTGTCTCCCCAGTGCTAACGTTTTACACATCGCGTTAGCTACGAGTTTAAGGCTGCGTCGACCTAGGGGAAGCCCAGTAAAGGTTCAAGATATCACTCATCACTGATGTTAGCCACGGCCAGACATCGAACCCAGGTGGCCGGGTTTACAGTGCTGTGCGAAAACCATCACGCTATTGGGGCAAGTGCTGTTAGCGAACACCCAAGAGGACCGGCACGGCACACGAGGGAGTGGTTTGCCAGCACCGCGCTCGGCCGCCTTTGTCTCCCCAGTGGCGATGTTTATACATCGCACACAGGTAACTCATTTATAGCCGAGTCGACCTAGGGGGGGCCCAGGACGGGTTCAGAAAATCCTCGCTGACGTTGGCCTTGAGCGGGAAACCGAACTCGGGGTGGGGGGCGGGTTTCTTTCCGGGTTTGTTGCGAGTGCAGCAGCGGCTGAACACCGTGCCACCGCTCCCACTCACACGCGCTCCCACTCACACGCGCGTACACAAACACACGCGCGTACACAAACACGCGCACGCACGCGCGCGCGCAGAGGGCGCGGCGCGTTCGTTAATTTGAGCAGGTTCCGCGCATTGCGTCGGCTTGTTTCTGCGTTAATTCTACACGCGCAGATAAATCGCAGAAACCCATTAGGCTTTCCACTACGCCCATTACGGCAAGCTCCCGGTAATTGCCGCTCAGCCTCATTAGGGTCTTCTCCCCACCGCGCTGGAGGCGTGGATTACGGTTTCAGAGGCGCGCCGAAGTAGTGTCTTATTTCCGAGCGCATCTGTGCAAGTGGTAGAACATTTTTTTTACAGACACATTTATATATTTTTTATTATTATTTTGTCCTCTTTGTTGTTGGAGTCACCGTTTTATTTTGTCAACGGAGCTCATTTCAACGAGACGTCTCTGTCTGTGCTGAGACGCAAGTCACTTCGCCCGAGCCTGCAAACTCAAATTTTTAACCCGTCCGCGCCACTAGAGTACAAGCTATACGCCTATTCACAATAATATAACATTTTTTCTCGGTATTATTGGCCACATTACTCTGTGGTGGTGATGATGTTGTTGCTGCTGCGTTGGCAGCGGTGCACAAGCACAAGTAATAATAATAATAAATCAACACACAAAAGTCTATATTAGGTGATGTTTTGGACAAAGGCCATTTTTCAAAGACCATACAGAGGCCACTTATTATCTCTACCGCTCTGGACTCTCTCTCTTGGGTGCTCTAAAGAAGAGGCCACACGCAGTGGTATTGACGAATGTGTAACGTTTTTATTTATTTATTTTACCGCCGCACCAGCTATTAATTTCAGTCTGAGTCGACCTCGGGGCAGGCCCATGGTCCGGTTCATGTTGGCCGTGAGCAGCAAATCTAACTCGGGGGGGGGGGGGGGGGTGAATGGTGCGTCACCAGATCCATAGCGTAGTGCAGCGCTAACCACTGCGCCACCGCTCCCCAGAAAGTACACACACACAAAACAGACGAGGTTGTCATTTAAATATACAGCTTTTCCGCCTATATTTCTGTAATCGTACGAGGAATTATGAAATTAGCGTCACGAGGACTTCGATGGACACGGCGCACTCAAACAATTCTCGGTGCCGGTGTTGCGGATTGTTGCGTTGGCATCGCCTGTGGCTGACGGCAGCGGCTAGGTCCAGCAACCTGTGATGGGGTCCGAGGGGAAGTGTGGTTTAAATCGCAAGTGGGTAAACTTGTTACAACAAAATATACATAAAATAACTGGGCGGTCAAATCGTTTTCACCGAATGTGAACAAGTGAAGGCGTGTCGCACAGACTTCCCGTTAAAAAAAAAAAAAACAGCGTTATCGGCTCGTTTAAGGTTGTTTGCCCGTACTTCACCGCGTGGGTCAGTGCGGGTTTGCGAACGCGTGGAGAGTTTTTATTTTTGCATCTGGGAGCATCAGAGTGGGGCACTTCCCCGCAATGTAGTCGCCGCCGCCGCCGCAGATTTTTGTCCACGGTGGTGGTCACCCACCCAAGCCACGGTTCAGGCTCCAAAATCCGCGTAGTCTTCCAAGACGCCGCATTCCTGGGTGATTCGGTCATCGTCAACGGACGCTTACGTCACGCTAAAATCTTGATTTACTTTTGCACAAACTCCACAACAATGAGTAATTAACCAATCGATGGTTAACCTACGTGTGGTCGGAATGTGGACTATTCACTGCTGGCACAGGGACCCCACCAGCTCCCCTATGGACACGAGCACTTCCCCCACTCACGTGTGAGCATCGGGGGTAGGTGGACGCGGGGGTGATATGTCGGCTGTATTTTTCAGAATCGATTCATGCGGAAACAAAACGCTCGGGTTCCTTTCGTTTTACCATCGCGTGCTTGGGTTTAATTACGAGTGTCCGATCCTCGTGTGTATGCGTGCGCATGATGAATTGTAGTATTATTCTTTCAACGTGACCCACCCGCCCGTCCTGCCAGCCAGAAAAACTTTGTTTTTATTTTTTACGGTATGATTATGCTTGTTTTATTAAGGAAAACCTCACTGAGTCTCACGACTCATTTTCAGGAGTGCCCTGCCAGGCTTTCACGGTAGGGGTGGGCGATGATTGCCACGTGTAATCCCAATTGAGTGACTCGCGGTGTCATTTCACCAATTTGGCAAGTTTGGACCACGACGCACAGTGGGCGCTGCTCTTCCGAACGACGTCACGGGATCAATTTGCTGGGAGCCTGCCCATTAAGGCGAGCCTCCCAGTAATTGCTACTCAGCCTCATTAGGTACCTTCCCAGCCGCGCTGGAGGCGTGGATCACAGGGCGAAGTCTCGGCGCGGTCGTTGCGTATCCCCTGGGCACGTCGTTTGTGAACGTGAAGCGGGCGGCGCGACGCATCGCCAACACGCGCGCCGCCGGAGTCATCGTGGGCGTACGGCGGGTTCCAAACCCACGGACCAATGCAGCAAGCGGCGATGCGTCGGTGAATTAATCCATCGGTTTGAAATCCGATCTTTCGTCCACGACGCGCAGCATAGTAATAACAGGAGTCCGATAATAACAATTATTTAAAAAATAAATTCAGCGCCTATAATCGAAATATCACAAAGCGCTGTCTGCGTGCAAATGTCAACGATCTATACCAAACAAGATGAAGTAAAACTTTTATACAAGACACGGGAATTATGGTGAACAGATCGCATCAACGCAATGGTCTAGTGCTCCAAGAGCAACGCTATAGAAGTGATTTGCTATTGCAGGTACATGGCGTAGCCACGAGCCCAGTAAACGTGCCAGCCTTGGCCCAACGTTGGCATGTGGCTGGAACCGTTGGGCGAACGTTGGGCCAACGTCCCACGTTTCCTGATAGAATTCTAATGTTTGGTTTGAGTGTCGAACACATCGAGGTCACCTTCAACAGTCTTGACAAAATACCGAACATACAAAATAGTGGCACGAGTAAGTGGCCCTTCGTGAACCCGCGCCTGCAGTCCGGTGACTTGGGAGGCATGGCTGGTTGATCGTGTGTACATCCGATCACCCATCATATTAGCGAGACACCCACCTTTGGGGTAGCGAGGTTGTGTCTGCGGTAGGCAGCGCAGCAAGTAGGTTAACGACACGCGAAGTCGTGGACTCGTTTGGGTCCCCCCCTCCGGGGCCATCTGCTCGATGCGCACATGCGACAATTACTTGAGGGGGAGAAGAAATGAACCGGCTACAACATCCCAGTGGTCGCAGGACCCTCCTAAACTTGAGTCCCTGAGACTCGGAGAGGCTTTCCTGGGCTAACAAAGGCATTTGCTTCGTAAAAACGAGTAGCGATGGAAAAGTTCATGCCCTGGCGTCGAAAGCAACGAGTGAATCTCATGAAAGCTGGGCTACGTCTGGACATCGTTCTCTTGAGGTGCAGTGCACTTGGTCCAGGGTCGTCATCAATATCGTCAGCGACGTGCCGAGGATATTAAACCTCGCAAGAACGATTTGCCTCGCTCCTCAAACCATGCCGAACTCACAGCTCTCACGCCGCTTCATTTGTCACGAGAAAACCACTCGCGTTGCCCACGAGTGACTCTTTAACTGACAACATATGGAAGGCACTGGGAGCCAGGTTTGGTGATTGTGAGTTTTCTGCGGATTTCTCTGGATATTCTCTATTTTTCTCTCGGTGCTTCAGATTTCTCCAATGTTTTTTTTTATTCAGTGAACACTTTATGAGTTGCAATTCAAATTTTTTTTCTTCTCAAAACTAGAGCGATAATATATCGCCGTGCAACATGTTAACCCTTCAAGTAGCGTACCTTTAACTGAACATTTCACCCTTTGCTTTAATCCGAAGTCTCGCCACGAACTTTCACACCATCGCTTACGCTTACGAGATAAGTCGCTCTCTTTACCGGGGTGTCCGTCACACCGGAATTCCATCCGAGTGGTGGACGTCTCGTCGAGTGTGCAGACGGTGCAACTGCATTGGTGAACCACGCCGACCAGTAGGGCCCCAAGGCATCGGGCTACAAACAGTGGCGTGGGGTGGAAATTGAACCGGGGGCCCCAATTGACATATCTTGTCCCCAGGGCCCATGCCAACCGCGCCACGACGTTACGCCATGGGTGGGGGGGGGGGACTGCGTTTCGTCGTCGCGGAAAGAGGGTGCGGACGCAGCCGCTCACGGGTGAAGATCGACGCGGGGATGAGAGAGAAAAGAGGAAGAGCCGAGACGGCGCCGTGGCAAAAAGTGGCTCCCGCTCGATCTGGCCAAAACATCAAACAAACAAAAACAATCCCGGGACAAGACCCGCGTGCGATTCCGTGGCGTCCGCGTCGGGACACCCCCCACCCCCCCCGCCCTGGGCGATCGGTCGCACGCAACTCGGTTCCGTGCGACTGAATCCCACGCACGCGCGTTGGCGTTGACGCGCGTGCGTGCGGCGATCAAGCCGGGCAACTGGCTGCACCTGGCGGGGCGACGTGGAGTTTGCTTCGGAGCGGACACACCGAGTTGCGGAGGTTTTAGTCGCCGCTCCGTCGTGGCTGGTGGCTTTTTCGTTTTTCGCGACCTTGTCCGTCGGGCTACTTGGCCACTCTCGGCGGGAACGTCGTTGTCGGCGGAACCGCTGGGGGAGGGGAGGGGAGGGGCGGGGCGGGGTGATCGACCAACTGATCGATGGATCGATCAGTTGGTCGATCGATCGCCGGTGCGGAAATGTTACGAGAACGTTGCAGATCGTTTTTTTTTTTTCGGCGCGCGAGACAAAACAAAAACGGCCTTAAGTTGCAATTTTTTCTACCAAATATGTGTTTCTCGGAACAGGAGTTGTCTGTGTTAGTCTTAGTGCACTGACACGCTGTCGCAGACTTCCATGGCTATACTTTGGTATCGCGTTTACGTGTAGTAGAGAGCAGTTTGTGTTGCGAGTCAGTTCCGACAAACTGATGCGTTCAGATGTCACCTGTTGTTTTAGCGGCGTCGATATGATTTCACGATAGCGATTAGAACTTTCGACCTGGACGGTGAATTTAATGAACAGCACAGCGGTTTAGTAATACGTTGGAAAAAAATAAAAAAAATATTAGTTAGTATCATTAATGGTGATTATGAAAATCGAGGCACTTCTTAAAAGAGGGTTACGTTGGTTATCGGTCAGCACACTGGACCTGGCAATCCATAGGTCGCCTGGATTGATTCCATTTCCCGGCACGGCAGTCGAAACAACGGTGCGAGGTTTTTTCTTAAATCTCCACTCCCCCACCCGCCTCCTGCCCCCCACCCGCCCCCGCCTCTGTCCACCCATCAGTGTAAATGGGTAGCGCTTAGTCGATAGGGGCAGGTTGCTTCTGGCGGGGGGGATAGTGTGGGTATGTCCCCGCCTCGATCAAGACGTACCTGCCCGCGTGGAGGAGTAGGGCCACAGTCAGTGAGTGGCCCTCTGGGGGACAATTCGCTGGCAGTAGCGCGAGTTAGGACACTGAGGTGGGGGGGAAGGGATGATCTTGCACCTTTCTATTTATACTGTAGAGCGGATTAAATTTTTAATTGGTTTATTGCGACGAAATTATTCGATCGAGATGAATATCATTTAGTGCACTATTTGCCATATTTTTTACCAAGGTCTTACCAGGGTGTTTGTGTCGGGGTTTTTTGTTTGGTGGGGGAAGGGGGAGGAAAATGAGAATAAATAATTCAGCGGTATGGCATCGGAGGACATGCGAGGTCAACAGAGGTCAACTCGTCATGCCTCGTAGCGTAAGCGTTTTTTGAACGCCATTAACGTAAACGCGCGCCTAAACAAAATCGACAAAATATATAAACTAATTTGTAAAGAAAGCCGATAAAAGCGTGCAAAAAAGTTCCACGCTAGGAGAGATTAAAAAAAAATTGTAAAAAAAAAAATTCGAATAAAAAATAATAATACAAATTTAACTTGCAACAGAAAACTTCGCCGAGCCAGATGGACGCAGGGGCCAGGAGAAAAGAAGAAGATGGCAACAACAAAGTGTCTCAGCTGTGGCTGTAGAAGCGTCGTGAAGAGTGGAGGCCGTCGTAGACGGCGATAGGGAAACATTTCACGACGATGCGGGTGTGGGTGGGTGGGTGTGGGTGGGGGGATGGGGTAAAATAAAAACCGAAAGATTCTACATTTTCTAGGGAGTCCCGTTGTAAACTACTCTGGCTGTATTTTGTATGTAATTTTCTAGCACATCTGACGCGTCATTTCGTGTAGGCCAACGTGTGGCTCCCCTCCACCGCGTGCATCCCTTACCCCCCCCTTTACCCCCCCCCCCCCCGTACTCCCCTCCATGCCGTGCTTGAGATATCAGGCTTTCGGAATGAGCCACGTGCGTGGTGTTTGTGACCCAGCCCTGCATCCCCTCCCCGCCGTCTCCCTCGACTTCCAAGTCCGATTGTAATGTGACGTCGTCTCGGCAAGAGGCATTTGTGTCAAATTAAATCTCCTCTCAAAACGTGAAAAAAACGGGCCGTTTCTCTTCTCCTTTGTCCCGGCGACCGCGTTGTTTTGTACTCGTCACGGCCGTTCGCTTGCCTCCTTCCGCGCCACTCCACTTGCTCTGCCGTACATACTCCCCCCCCCCCCCCCGGGCGGATGGGTTTGCTCGCAGAGGGGGGGGGGGACAGGAGATGAGAGACGCTGAGCCGACAAGAGCCGGTGCGTGGTGATTCCGGCTTCGGGAATGGAGCTCTCGACCATCGAGTGATTTAACCGCGAGTCGGTTGAGATTCGGGATTCGTAAAGCTGGGAGCCCCGTGGAATTATTGGCCGCTCGGTTCGGCTCATTAGAGCGGTGTTCTTCACTAATGTTCACATGGGATGGGATGGGGACGGGTGGAGGCACTTTCGCCGATGAGATTTCAACAGTGTGATGGCCGCCAAACATTTGAAAGCAATGGTGGGTTGGCAGCACAATGACGTTTTCACTTGTTTGTGTAGTGTCGGGGGGGGGGGGGGGCGCACTGAAGGCCACCAGGGACCGTCAGTATCCCTCGGGCCTTGCAATGAAGCCCATTGCGTTAGAGAGTGACCGGGAAACACCGAATCGGTTGCCTCCCCCCACCCCAGCGAGTTTGCATGATCAGGTTTCAGTCCAGGCAGTTGGAGAGGAAACACACGTGGGAAGGAGCCATAATCTCTCCGCTTCTTTTATTCGCCACCTTACCCAGCCGTGTTTTCTCTTAACGCTGGGTGGGGTTTTTTGTTGTTGTTGTTGTGAGAGTTCCAAATGGACACTTTAATAATAATAAGATGATATTGATCATGATAATTGTTTTTTACCCTTCTATCTGGCAACAAAACTGACACCTTTTTTTACAACGAGTCATGTTTACATAGACCACAATACCTGCAGTCATAATGCAAACAAAAAACATAACTCTGATAATGTGCACTGTCCTTGAAGTTGATTGGTCCACACCCGAGACAGCTTTCCTTGGAGCCTAGTGCAGGGGTCGGCAACCTACGGCTCCGGAGCCGCATGCGGCTCTTTACGGGCTGCTTCTTGACGATATGTACGTATGTACAGTATGTACTCAGATGCATTGCGGCTCTTGAAATACTGAATTTTGTACCGAATTGGAAAGAAATGGCTCTTCTTGTTATTTTGGTTGCCGACCCCTGGCCTAGTCTCACATGGGTTGGACCAGATGACGCCAAAAGGTAATAAAAAGGTGTCAGTTTTGTTGCCAGATAGAAGGGTAAAAAACCCATTATCATATTTTTTACTGTCAAATGAGGTTCCAATCGTGATTTTGATCATTTCAACTTGTAAGATCGCGTGGCCGCCGCGCAGTACATGCCCGCTCTCGTCGGGAGAGAACCACTCGGACGCGCGACGAGGAGTTACAGACGAGCGGCAAAGAAGCAGCCACGTGGTGAGCCGTGCTACCAACAATTGCCCGAGCTCTGCGATCCTCTCGATATACGTTGAGGTGTATATCGGCCACTTAATTGAGTGTTCACTGCAACCCAGGTTGGCAATACCGCAGTTTGAAGAACACTTGAAGGAGAGGGGGGAGGAATTTTTTACGTAAAAAAAAATCTACGGTTTGGTACATTTCAAGTTCAGGTATGGCCCATGCGGGCCGATCTCACGACGCCACTCCATCTCTTCCTTCCTTCCGCCAAACCCTGCAGCTGTTGCAAAGTGAACACCTGACATCTGAGGGCCTCCCTTGGGGCCTCGCAGCCACCATCACGACCACAGGAGATGTGACCAACGGTGCATAGGTTAGATGCAGCTGCCACTGTGGGAGTCTTGCTATGTTTTGGCGTTAGCACCGCACTTCTCCATGTTACGAGTTCAACTCCACCACCATCCGACCTGAGGTCTTCCCGTTGTTACTGCGTTGACAGGTCCTTCAAGAACGCCTCTTCGAGTCTTACCACCACCGTCAACAACACCCACCACCACCCTCACCGCCACGACCATCACCCCCACCGCCAACCCCCGCCACCACCACCATTACCACCGCCACCACCACCCCCACCGCCACCACCACCACCACCCCCCACCATCACCACCCCCAACGGTACCACCACTCCCACCGCCACCACCACCCACACAACCACCACCACCCCCCACCACCACCACCACCCCCACCACTACCACCACCCACACCGCCACTACCACCGCCACCACCACCCCCACAAAGCTTTTTTTTGTACACAGATGTCCAGTAATTTTTCGCAGATGTCCAGCCGGGTGAAACAAGGCACGGATCGACACTGGCAGACAGACGGGACAGACACGGGACGGAGTTGTATCGAAAGGAGAGCACGCGTCGCGATGGAGTGCCACCAGCTGATCTGTGCGAGCGAAGTGTGGAGGGGTGGGGGGGAGAGATTGTCAGAAGGGAAGGGGGGGGGGAATAAGTCAGGCCCGGATGGAGATCGCAGGGTAGGAGATGAGTGCACATTGAAGAAATTGCGCTTCATCCCGCGTCTCCCAAACACGAGTTCGATTTTATCCTCCACGTGGTCGATTGAACGAGGTTTTGTATTTCTCGTATCGAGTGTCTGGGGTTGGGAAGTAGCGAACGCCACGAACGCCACCATCAGCGGTGAGTGGTTGTTGTTGTTGTTCATCTTGATTCTAGTCACTAACCACCTTCGCCATCGTGGTGAAGTATGGTTAAATACCCCCTCTCTCTCTCTCTCCTCCCCCTTAGCAAAACACAGCTTAGGGGAAGCCCTAACAGTGGATTTACAAAGGGTTGTGAAATTGCATTTCATGTATAGTGCCATCATCATAAACGTCACCTCCATTATAATGAACTGTATAACCATGTGAATTATGGATAATAAATAATATTATATATAATATACATTATATGCATATCATATGTGTGAGCTCATTCTCATTAAACAAAAAGTATATTTCTCAAGGTGCAGTGGTTAGCGCTACGTGCTGTGGCATAGGTGCTCGCGAACAGCACTTGCCCCAAAAATCGGTTCAGGCTATACGGGGGATTTTTGTATTTGTATTTTTGTGGTGTGGTTGGAGTGGGGGTGGTTGCGGTGGTTGTGGTGTTTGTGGTGGGGGTGGTTGCGGTGGTTCTGGTGTTTGGGGTGGGGGTGGTTGCGGTGGTTGTGGTGTTTGGGGTGGGGGGTGGTTGCGGTGGTTGGGGTGGTGGTGGTTGCGGTGGTTGTGGTGTTTGGGGTGGGGGTGGTTGGGGTGGGGGTGGTTGCGGTGGTTGTGGTGTTTTTGGTGGGGGTGGTTGCAGTGGTTGTAGTGTTTGGGGTGGGGGTGGTTGTGGTGTTTGGGGGAGGGGTGGTTACGGTGGTTGTGGTGTTTGGGGTGGGGGTTGTTGTGGTGGTGGTTGTGGTGGTTGTGGTGGAGGTTGTTGCAATGGTTGTGGTGTTTGGGGTGGGGGTGGTTTGCGGTGGTTGTGGTGTTTGGGGTGAAGATGGTTGCGGTGGTAGTGGCGGTTGTGGTGGGGTGGTTGCGGTGGTTGTGGTGTTTGTGGTGGAGGTGGTTGCGGTGGTTGTGGTGTTTGGGTGGGGGTGGTTGCAGTGGTTGTGGTGTTTTGGTGGGGGGGGGGGGTTTGCGGTGGTTGTGGTGGTCGTGGTAGTTGCGGGACACCCTGGTGGGTGGGTGAGTGGGTGGGGGTCGTCGTGTCTGTGCGTCTCGCTCGCTCGGGTTTGCTGATGCAGCTCGTGTGTGCGAGCCCCTGAGCTCGGATTAGGAATGACCTTTGAGATGCGGCCGAGGGTTTTTCTTTTTGTCCTCCTGGGGGAGTCGATGGATGCGGGGGAGCGTAGGGATGGGGTGGGAGGTGCAGGAGGGAGCTGGAATTAGCCAGGAGGGGACCCGCCGAGAGATGGGGGTCACGACTCGAGGGCCGGGCACATTTGGAGGACAGGCCGTCTGCACTTGCAGGCCGAAGCACGTCTACCCGTGGCCGCAAGCTGCTTGCAAATTTTCACAATTCGTCTCGCTTGAAATGATTAATTCATTTGCTGGTGGCCTGGTGCACGCGGCCTTGGGGCAGCATCAGAAGAAGCGAGAGTGACTGTCCCCGAGACTCGACGCGGTATTAAAAAAAAAAATTGGAATCCAGCTTTTCGAGGTCATTTGGAGCGATTTAAAAATCACCAGTGGCACGGATGGAGATTTTCCGCCTTGTCCGGGGTTATCACTCCCACGCTAACGTCAAAACAACGCTCATGAATGGAATTGGACTTTCCGGCATAAGAGTCTTGTTTGAGATTCAGTGAGGCTCTTTTCCTGGGTGAATAATGACCGATTGGCATGCACTGATCCACAAAGATAATGATCCTCCGTATAGCCTTCACAGACACTTGGGGTAAGTGCCATTAGCGAGCACTGTCACACCAAACCCCACACCGCACGTGAACGTGGAGAGCGGTGGTGCAGCGGTCAGCGCGCTGCGCTACGAATCCGGCGACCCGAGTTCGATTCCCGCTCACGGCCAACATCAGTGACGATTATCCGAATCAGTCCTAGGCCTTCCCTCGGTCAACTCAACCTCAAAAGAGTACCTCGTGCGGTGTGTAAAGCATTGCCCCCGGGGAGACAAAGGTGGCCGGGCGTGGTGCTGGTCACTCACCCCCTAGTGTGCTGTTCCGGCTTTCATAGGTGCTCGCTAACAGCACTTGCCCCAACAGCATATTAAGGCTATACCTGGGATCTTCGTCTTTGGTGTGTCCACGCATGCGCGTATCCCCCCCCCCCCTCCACCAACGGTTTAGACAGCGAAATCATATTTGCTCCGCGAAACAAAATTCCATCGGGAGCGATATAACTTGAGAGCCAACCCCTAGGTTTACTCATCGCAGGAGAACACACGCGCGGTAATGGGTGAAAGTGGGCAGGAGGGGAATAAGTGGCGATTATATTTGCGGAGGTAAATTCCATTGGAACAATCGGTACAAGTCGGTCGCGGACAGCTGAAACTTTTGGCCGATGAATGGAGTGTTTAGATCCC